TACAGCTAGCTTAGTTGCAGTACACAGCAACAGGTGGGGAAAGGGTTGCATTTTATTTTTCTATGTTACATATATTGGGAGCAAACTCTGGTCATCCAATAATATGAGTCTAATACTGTACCTTTGATTTGTGTTGTTATTGAATTAAACCTCCTCTATAAATTACATTGAAACTGTCCAAAACCTGCTAACATGCTATGCTACCATGTTAGCATGTGACATAACCATGTATCCCCCCCTAATTTTTTAACTTTAGGTTTTTCTGTTTTGGACACATGTAACAGTAATGTTTCTACTGAGATATTCTAAACTGTAAATGTAAAATGTTTCTGTAATAAATCTACACAGATGCAAACTGTTTAAAACTGGAATAAACTTTTTTTCCCCTTATCATTGAGAGGAATTTTAAAATGTGACAAAAAAATAAAAAAAATCAAAGTATGAGGACCTCCATCTCTTGCTAAGGATCACCATAAGATAACATTTATATCTCATTTGTAATGAATGTAATGATGGGACATCTTGGCATCTTTCATCAACACTAAGGTAGACGGTTATTTCTATGCTGAACCTAAAGTTTCAGCTGAGGATGTTCTTTTAAAGGGTGCATCATCTAAATAAGTGGTCCTCCCAATTGTCAATCATTCTGTAGGTATGTTTACCTAAGGCAGTCCTACGTGCTTTTCCCCATTTTCACATACTGGTGGTGAGTCTGACACAGTGGAAAAATTGCAAATCATTTGGAAACTAAGTTTGTATGAGCGATGCAAACAGCAACTTTTAAACAAAGCGTGCACAAGAAGCAGGCACCTACATACTCTCACACACGTTTAATAGGCGTTCCCTATCGGGAGCAGGTACAGGATTGTAGGTGTGCATTTTTTTTTAGTGGAGAGGGCGGGTCTTTTCAAAAAATTACGAAACTATACCTTTAAATACTCACCTGAATGACATCCAACTGAATCTAAACATCCAGCAACGTGTATAGGTGTACAGTTGTTGTAAAGTCCTACATGTGATTCGTAAGTAATGGAGCTTTATTTATTTATAACAGAGGATTGTCTCCGTCTGTAGCTGTTTATTTTTATGTAACCTTACATGTGTATTTTTTTAATCCTTTAAAAACACCGATGTTAGTGTTTATTCTAAACATGTGACCTTTTAATGACGCTGTCTACCAGCTGGCTGGGAAGTGACAGCGATGTCAAAGTGAGCTGCAGAGAAGCTGCCGTCTCATGTTTAGCAACGGCTCACTGTGGATGTGTTTACTGCATGCTCATCAGCTGGCTTTTAGAAGTGAACTACGCACGAGCCTTCATTTGAATAAATGATGGCTCAAAGGTTTGAAACAAGGCGAGCCTTCAGACCTGATGAGTAGTACTCTGGCTGCATGGTTTTCATATCACTTTTTTAGCCACAGTCCACACATGCAGTGATTTAGAGTTGGTACCTCTGGTTTTTAGAATGGGACAAGATGTTGCCTGGTCGTAAACTGAACATCTACATCTGAGGTCTGTTTCAATTCAACACCCTGCCGCATTTATGGCTTTCTTCTTTGAGGCTGTGTGCTCCATTCGTTCCCTGTTTGCCAGTGAGGGTGAGTCCTGCTCTGCTCCTTTTGGTTTATACAGTCTGTGTGTATCTGACACCTTACAGCATGTACATTGATTATCTCAGAGGTGTGCAATGAAATAGCTGGGTAGATAAAAAAAACAAACAAACCTGACTTTCCTCTCAGGTTATTTCTTCTGACTTGATGAAACCAGTTACTCAATCAATCAGCGTGTCAATCTTGTTCCAGTTTTCAATCCCGCAAATACAGATGGCCAAACAGAGCAGGATACAGCTGCTGGTTCCTCTTTACTAAAACATGATCTCTTTCCATTGATTGGCAGCCCTGGATGGATTTTAGTGTTTGTCACGCATGAGGAACATCCAGATGCTTTAGTTGACAAAAGCTGCCCATGTTTTATCCTTTCAGAAATGCTATGGATAAACAAGAGATCATCACAAAAATGTTGGTCTGTGAATGAAACATGAACATTTTCATGCAAAAGAAGAGGAAGTGATATTTTCTGTTCCTGTGAAGGTTTAGAGAAGTACATTCATACAATGATGTAAGGCAACCGTATAGAGCTGAGGTGTCCAGCATATTGTCATCCTTCATCTCTTGATTTCAAAACGATAATCAAGATGAGATGGATGTCAATATAAATTACTATTAACTTGGATCTAAATACATTTGGCCTTTTCTTACACATTTGTTAGACTTCTGAGGAAACATCCGATTTTGCTTGTGTTTAGGAGGAACTCTATTGTTGTTTGAGCGCTGAATGTTGTAAAGCTAATCCAACTAGTCTGCAAATTACTGAACTGCTTTTGTGATCTAATTAACCAGCAGTGAAAACAGTTTAAAATAGATGTTTTTCTCTGCTTGTTTAGCTGTATTTTGGATTATTGTTGGTTTGAGGTAATAAAAATAGTGTTAGTCAATGATTTCGTTTTTTTTTATCAGTACATCCATTAATGTTTACTATTTTACTTTTCTCTTTATCTACATACTCTTTATCTGAACCTTTTTCGTGCAGCGAAACAAAGCCAGATTTCTACGGATGCATTTTATAAAACTCTAGGTCAATATCGATATCTGATATTAACTTTGCTGTTTTGGCAAATAACCCATATTTACAGCTATCAACCGTTTTGAGAAACATAAATATTGGTTGTTAATATTAACCCAGTTTTAAATATTGAACCGATACCAGTTAGCATAAAAAAGACCAACATTGGCCGATATTAAACATCTCTCTACAGATTTGATTAACAAGAATCTTTAGTGAGCATAGTGATGGTGGAAAATAGAAGGAAACCAGTTTGATTAAAAAAGAAAAAACCCAAACAGGAACTGAAGCAAATTCACCTGGATGAAGCTTTGAAGATAATTAGCTTTACCATCCACAGCAGTGTCAAGGTTCAGGGATCATCGGACTCAAAAGAGACTTCAGCATTGGTGTCAGAATTTCTCTAGTCACTTGTCCTTAATGTCTTTTAACAGCAGCTGATCAGCTCCGTTCTGGTGCCTCTTCTGATGCAGTCGTCCCACAAATAAACAAAGCAGAACATGTCTTATTGCCTCATTGTGTCTATGCTGCTTTCACCTGCTGGGATTTTATTGGAGTCACATATTTGTTGGTAAAACTACAATTTTTCTGTCTGTTTTGCAGCAAGTTTTTGGGGCATGCTTAGTTTATTTGTTTATTTCATTACTTGTAGCAGGGAAGCTTTAACATATTTAGTTGCCGTTCCCTTTCTGCTTCTCTGTTGTCTGCAAAAACATCACTAAGCAGGGATAATGGACCAATCAAATGGCAAGTTGATGGACTCAAACTGTTTGATTGCACAGCTAATATGCATAACAGTTAGCAATGAGCTAAGCCAGAAAGCAGGTAGCTTACAGTCTGCAGTTTATTGTGCAGCTTGGTGCTTGCTCAGTTATTGACTAACATTTGTGGCTCTGTGTCCTTCAGATGTTTCTACAAATAGAGAATACAGAGCAAAAATGGCTGCTTGCTTTAAAATAGAAGGAGCCAACCTTGGTAGTTGTTAATGCATCGTTGTTCTGATGAGTGACTCACAAACTGAATCCCAGTTAATGAAAAACCCGAAGCTTTGAGGTGTTTATTATGAATGAGTCCTATTATGCTTCCCAGTGGGTTGTCAATGACGGGAAGGACCAAAACCAAATCATGCAGACATTTTATTTCCTGGTATTATGCTCAGTGTGTTAATGTCTTCTGCTTGTGGCGTCCTGCAGCGTTTCATGAAATCCATCTCTTTCTGAAAATGCCGAACATGCCAGCCGTTTGTATGACAGCTGCATTAAACCCTCTCTCACATTCTCAATTATCCACGCATACGCCAGCGTGCAGATGGAGCTTCTGATTGACAGGTGGGCCAAACGACTGTGTCGGTGGATTGTCCCAGTGGGGACAGAGTGCTCCTTTTCCTATTAGTTTTTATCTACATCTCATTAGAGATCGTTGATATGTTTTACACAAACACAGCCTCCCTATTCAGGACTAGCTTGTCCAGTAATCAGCAATCGGACACCCACACACCTCCCACACAGTCAGCTGCTTTTCTTTTTTTCTTCACCTGCCAGCAGCAATGTGTCGTTTTCCTGTAAAACAAGATTTATTATGAGAGCAAAAAGAAAATTTGCTTTTCATGTAGTGCTGACTCAATTTGCTTCTGTTACAAAAATGTGCTGCTATCTGTGAAAGAACCAGCTATGGTATTACCCTGTAATAAACCCTATGGCTTATTTTATTTCTCACTCAGGCTTTGAATACATTCCTGGATGTACTTGTTATTCTAGTCGTCTTGTTTTTTTTCTCCTGCTCTTTTGACAGCAGGACAGGAGTTACTTCAGTCATCGTCGTTCCCTTCCACTAGAGCTGTCACTGCTACTTAGGGCTGACTGTCGACCAGGATTTTCAGCCTGATTTCTGACACAAAATCTGATATAAGGCTGTATGCTAACAGGAAAAGAAGTCGGGGTGGACCCCAAGGCGTCCGCCTCTAGAGTATTTCTGCACAGGGGAATACTTTTAATTAAACCTTCTTTTTTTTAAATTCTTGTTCTAGTTATCTTATAGTAATACTTTCATTATAAACTGTCCTAAAAACACATCTAAAATGTTTCTAAAATGCCATTCAACCCAGAACCAAATCATCCATCAGGAAGCTCCTACATTTAATGCCTACATTTAGTTTGTTTACCTGAAGGCTCCATTGTTTGTGGATATTTTGATCAAGGTAATTTATCATCTATTTGTTGTTTTTATGTGGAATTATTTACTTTAGTTTTTTTCAGCAGAAATCTGGGCTAAAATTCAAAGCAAACATACCATTCTTCCAGACTATGATCAAAAGGCATATTACATAAAAACTGAACTAAACCTTTTTTTTTTTTCTTTCTCTCCTTCCCCCTTGTTTAGACTTCAACTATAACACAGATGGCTATGATGGGGACGGAGCTGAAGACGGCAAGTCCCAGGACAGCTCTGAGACGCTGCCCTACATAGATGAATCCCCCACTATGTCCCCCCAGCTGTGTGTGTCCCAGGGGCCTGATGGTGAGGCAATCTCCCCCACACCTCTCGAGGTAAGAACTTGCAAACAAATACCCACAAGTCAGGAAAAACTGAACTTTTTTTTTTTTTTTTTACTCCTGAAAGCCACAAACTACTCTGTATTTCATTGCCATTTCATGAGACTGACAGACTTTAAACACCCTAGCCTAACAGGGATACTCAGTGGAGGGAGCATCATGCTCGGGGGATCTTTTTCCTCCAATAGGACCAGTTAAAGGTTGTTATGACTTGAGCTTGGTACTCTTTGTTACATTGGATCTTGTGGGGAAAAAAAAAAAAACACTTCTGGACAATAATTGCATTTGTAATCAATTAAAAAAAGGTCATTTCTAAACTGCAAAGATGGCTAATTGTGTTTACATCAGATTAAATTTCACACTCTTTTTAGGTGGCAGTAATACACTTAAAGTGGGTTATTTTGGTCAAACAGCTTGTGAGCAAATGTATGCATAAGTACTAGAAGTTAGCAACTTTCTCTTAAGGCTGGGCAATTGGTTACATTTGCTATATAATTGCAATTAAACAAAACATAATTTTCAAATTGCAGAAGCAATTTTCTCAATTTTGGTTGCGTCATATTTAACAGGAAAAAGACACTAAATTTCTCACTGCAGCCCTTTAAGCAATACACTGTGGGTGCGTGCCTGCAAGTAGAACTAAGCACCTTTTCACAAAAAGGTTAAAGAAAAGTCCTGCAACAAAGGACTCTGGACAAGTAGCTTTAAACGTCATGAAAAACTGAAACTCTACAATAAAACATCTACAAGCTTGAGGTTAGTGCAAAAGAAAATCTAAATCACATTGTAGTGGCACTCCAGCTCCTTCAGTTTCTTCTGTACCGCATGGAAAATCAGTCTAGCAACAAGTATTGTAACGCGAGCAAGACCAGATAATATTCTTCAACTTGTGATGTTTAATAAAAGAAACAAAGATAAGAGAACATCCACATTCTCATAATATAAACTGTGTCAAAAACTGTGTTGCTTCCAGCATATCTGTTACAAGCAAACAATAAAAACGTACAGAATTACAGCATGAGGGAAGCCCAAAATATGCAATTCATTATTAGCTTTTCTATATTCTGTGCTTTTAATATTAGAGTTTTTAAACTTAAATTATAATCTTAACAACAAAAATGTATCAAATCTTGTATTTTAACCTTTTTACAACTATAAATGAATTTGTCTCAAATTGACTTTTACAAACATCACAGTATTGGTTAAAAATAATCATGATTAATAATTATTGCAAAAGCATTCAGGCCTACTTACCATGCAGCATTTAACAACGAGAGCATGAAAGGTCATGAAAACAATGGAGCCCTGAAGCCAAACATGTTGATGTTTGTTGTTAGTGAAGAAGACAATCAATTCAATTCAATTCAGTTTCTTTATACAGCGCCAACTCCCAACACACATGTCATCTCAATCAAAAATAGAATCACAATTTCTGTTTTTGGCCAAATCACACAATCCTAGACAGAATGTCAACAATAGGTGATGAGGTGTGCATTTTAAAACTGCTCCAATTTACACACCATTGTTCCTGTTTCTTGGTATGTAAATAACTGATAAAAGGGGGATAATGCTGTGCCCCTTATTAACTTTTTGTGCAGATTGATTATATTTCAAAGGGAGACATTTTTACACATGTTTACGTAGCAGTTTTGTACGTTTTTTTTGTAGTTTTGTAGCAATTTAAGTAATTTTTTTAGGTCACCCAGGGGCTGATATGGAGCAGTGAGTGTTACTAGAAACACTGCCGTCCATTAGGTGCTAGTATTGCCTGTCCTGCATATATAAACATTCCTCTAGCAGCACTCAGTTTTTGTTTTTCTCTCAAACGTCTGATTAAGCCTCTCAGCCGTCCCTCTCCCAGATGTTCTAAAACCAAATCTGAGTTGGAGTAATGACGGTGGATCATAACAGCTTCTTTTCCCTGACAGCTTCACACAGTGAGCTGGGAAGATAAGATAAACTGTGGGCTTCGGTGTGAAGCGGTTGAGTGGTTACTCTGTACTTCTCACCATGGTGCTTGTTATTTTCCACATCCATGCTGCTGCATACTTTTGAAAAAGTGCCTCTATTGATGTAGTTGTTTCTTTCTTTATGGTAATCTTCTTGTCCGTGTGATGACAGTCTCCAGTTACTTGCAGATGTCTAAAAAGTCACCCGACTCATTTCTTTTCAGGACAGCTCCAGGATTTCAGAGGTTTACTTTAATTTAGTGCTGACATTCCCCAACATGTAGAATTTTAAAGACTCGTTTACTACTAAAGTAGATGAAGCAGTCTAGAAGGTTTCCAAATCTAATTTTAGGAATACATTTATTTTAAAATTCAAGTCATGGTAAATGAGTCAAACACGTGGAAAAAAAAACCCAAATATTTTATCCCTACTGTCCTTACATGACATGTTTTGGGGATGAAAACCGATAGTTTCTGTTGTGTTTCTACTGTTCAATGTTCAACAGAAAAGCTCAAAGGAGAAACAAGATGTGGTTGTATGGCAAAGCCCAGGCACAGTGTGAAGCCTTAACAGGGAGTGTTTATGCACATATGCACACTGTTAACCTAATGAGCCTGATGGATTTAGACAAAAATTAAAATTGAAATTTTATTTGAATGTTCCTTGACACTAAACTACAAAAATGTTACCGTATTTTCCAAACTATAGAGTGCACCTCACTATAAAGTAAGCTGCACCAACTAAGGCTGCACATGCACTGTACAATATTTTCAATCGTTGTTCTCAGCTACAGCTCAAACTGTACAATGAAATTGCAGGGTTTAAAAGTTACAGCCCACGATGTATGTTCTTACGCTGTACGGCCTGATGCGTTCCAACTGCTCACACTGCATGTCCAAAACCTGCACATCAGACTCAGCGCCGAGAGATGGTGCTGGTCAGACTCGTCAATCTGGACGAAGAATAAGAAGATCTTATTTGCACATGCGCAGTGCTCGAGGTTCTGGTAAATTGGCTCGTAGCTCTTCTTCAACAGTAGAATTTTCCCACAAACACCTCACGAGGACTGATAGAATTTTAAAAATGTTTGATTTTCACCCGACTTTACAAGTCCTCATCAGGAGGAGCCCAAAAAGGGCAAATATTAATACAGTTTATGTCCAGCTTGAGAATTTATTTATTTATTTTCATTTTTTTTAAACTGGAAACCACATGGGCTATAAGCAGTTCGTATATATCAAACTGCCCCCCTCCAAACCTGTAGGAGGAGCTCCACATATAATGCCTGGAATAGGGACAAAGAAAAATGCTAGCTCTTATTAGCTTGTTGGCTTTCTGCAGTTAGAGCTTCTAATGAAGCCCTGAAGCAGTTGCCCACACTCTCCACAGGAGCAGCACAGCTAAAATGGCAAAAACAAATCAGAAAATATGAAAACACGAGACACGTGCTCTCCCGTGCCCCTGGTAACAAGGGCCTGGGCCAAAAGAAAAATGCCCCCCTCCAACTTGAATTGCAACCTTCAAATCCCCCCCCTAACGGCTCCCAAAAATCCTCAGAAAAGCACCTTCGCATAAGGCGCACGCTTCAAAGTGTGAGGAAAAAATAGCGGCTTATAGTCCAGGAAATACGGTTTCACTCTGTTCATGATCTTGAAAGCTTTTTTTTGTATTTTCCATTTTCAGCTGCTGCTCTCTTCTTTGTAGAATGTTTTTGCTATAATCTGCAGGATACTTTTACATTTTCAGTAAATAACTTACAAAAACACCATTCTAGCAGGTATAATAATATAAACTTCTGTTTATCACTGTCAGATTAAATAAGATGGCTCTTTACTGTTAAATACTGAACCTGGGATGGTTTTCTCATGGATCTATATTTCCCTCTGTGTTTTAGTCACAGGATGCTAACCCCCTGTAATCTTCAGGTTTTAGCAGTGTTAGCTAAATGGCCTTTGCACTCTGCAGGCGGTGCATGCACAGTGAGAGGAAATGACCCCTGAACCAGATGGGCTTTGATGCAGCCAGCATCAGTTTGCCAGTCTCACTGTAAATTACATTACAATTTGTTGCCTGTGTTAACTGAGTGAATGTGGCACTGATCAACCGTTTGTCGGTTTCAGGAATGTTTAGATGTTAATACAGTATATAAGCCATTTAAATTCATTTTTTTCTAAGCTATAAACAGGGTTTCCACAGGTCATTAAAAATAATTAAGTAATTAAATTATAATTGTTTAAAATAAGACATTAATTGGCATTAAAATTAATTAAATGTTATTATCGTGACATTTAAAATGCTTTATTAAAAAAAAAGAGAAAAGGTTTGTAGAAACATTTTTGTCTGATATATTATATCAGATATAACTGGTTCTGCATCTTTGTGCGGAACTGCTTCTGGTTGACCGCAAAGCCGTACGTTCGAGAAAGAAGCTTTAGGCATAGATAAAGCTAGAGAATGGGAAAATGCACATTTCAACAAAAGTGGCTGGAAAACAAGGAATCCAGGACATCGTAAAGATGACGAAGGATTTTACCATGTCTTTATATTTATATATATATATATATGTTCCTTAAAGCATTACATTAGAGTTACTCATTCCTGTATAAACCCTGTGTAAAGCAACTGCAGTGGATTAGTTAATTGGGACTTTTGTTAAAGACAAACCTTTTTCTCCTAATCTCTGATCTGCGACCCCCTACATCCTAAAAATAAAAATCCCCGCACCATGATGCTGCTGCCACCATGTTTCACAGCATTGTTTCTTAATCTAGTGTAGCTTTTTGCTTGTTGGTCCATATATAAAGGATTCTTCCATCTGAGTTTTGGAGCTTAAATATACTAAAGGTAAAAAGAATAATAATAAAATCTGATATTTCCTCATTTAGCAATGCGGCCATTGCTTGGCTTGCTGATAAGTCCCAGCATGTTAGTTAGGTAATTTAGTTTACACAGATGCTTAATGTTTTCACTACAATTTGATCCAGTTAGTAATTGCCTGATGTTTTTGTCATAGAGTTACTCTTTCCCTCACATTGTTGTTCAGA